CTCCTCCCACCTCAGTCTGCACCCCCACAGCACCACAAGACCACCTGCAGTACCCCCACTGCCATTGAGATGACTCCCAACTCCTAGCGTTTCTAGCACAAAATCTCTGGGAGCAGCCAGCCTTCTCTTTCTCCCACAGAGCAGCTGGTAGGTTTGAATTGCTGACCCTGCAGTTAGCAGCCCACTGCCTAAGGTGTGGGTACCACACAGGCCTCCGTTTTGTCCTTAGCCTAATGGGAGCCAAGTCTAGAACTTGCTCCCCGAGGGCTGCATCCCTCCCTTGCTGCTCACTCCCTGGGGGGGCGGGGGGGGGTTCTAAAGGAAACCCAGAGTTGGGGGCACCCACTGCCCAACAACACAGACCCCAAACACCTGTGCTGCTCCAGGGAGGGAGCCTAGAACCACCTGAGGACTTGCTACCACCACACCAGCCCAAAGCCTTATAGGGAGGGGCTTTACAGACTCAAGAAAGAGCCAGTGAGCAGTCTCGACCCCTGCTGGCCTGCCCTTCCCTGCCAGCAGTCACTGAACGCCATCAACAGCAAGATTAGTGCTCTACCCGTATCCCCCATAGATGGACCGCCCTGGGAACCCCAGGGCCCCCGTTCCCGTGGCTCCCTACAGATGGACAATCCTGGAAACCTCAGGGAGCAACTCTGCTCTGTCCTGCAGGATAGCCATGAGCTGGACACGACTTGAAGGCCAGGGATCAGCCTCTCAGAGATGGTCAGGCCCTGTCCACTCTACAGGAGAAAGACGAAGCTGTCTGCTCCCATCTAGACTCAGTCTCCGAAACCCCAAGGCGATGTTCTCTGTCCTACAGGCCACTGAGCTGACCTGACTGGCCAGTAGTGGGTTTGGGGGCCCCATCAGGGACCCAGTTTTAGAGTGGAGACCTGCTGGCCGGCACAGGCAGAGACCCAAGTTTACCTTCATGGCGAACGCTCTGCCACAGCCCGAGTGCGCACACAGGAACGGGCGCTTCTCCTCATGGAAGGAGAGGATGTGGCTCTGGAGGTTGAACACGGTGGTGTAGCTTCTCCCGCAGCCTTCCCGGGGGCACCGGCACACCACCCTCTCGGGGGCGTGTACGCTCATGTGTTGTTTTAGGTGGTCCTTGCGTCTGAACGTCCTCTGGCAGACTTCACAGCGGACTTCCTCTGGAGGCAAACAAGCACATTCAACCCACTGCCTCCAATCTTACCCCAGAGAAACAAATACATCTGAATTCCTCAGTCAAGTGCCCAAGCCAGTGGCCACACGCCCACCCGCCTGCCCGCCCTGTGGTGGAATTGCCCAGGAAAGCTCCGCTGGATTCTCCCAGGCCGTCCGCTAGCGCAAGGCAGCAGGACCGGGTTCCACACCTCGGGCTCTCAGAAGGAGCTCTTCCTAGATTTCCTCGGGTCCCCTACCAGACTGCCCGTGCCTGGGAGCACCAAGCCCTCAGGGCCTGAAAGCTCAGCATCCAGCACCTTACTTATACTTTAAAGCACATATTTCATCTGTTTCCTGGTGAAAATAAATACAACCAAACACCCTTTCCACAATCTGTACACATACAATTTTTCAAGTTGGTAGAGCACACATAATGGGGCTTCCAAGTTTGTGGAAAGCCCCGTTACCTTTGAATTCCAGTCTTCCACCAACTTTGAAGGGCCCCGCCCCCGTATTTAAGATTGTGCTCCTGACTAAATCCGATGGGCTGATGCCTCGCCGTCCGCTGGCCCCGCACCTTTATGGTTCTCTCTCACGTGTCTCAGGAGCTCTGTCCACGTCTTGGCCACAAAGGAACATCCCTTTTGACATTTGTAACCTATATTTTTAGAAAAAAACATCAGCTACATAAACCACGTGGAGTGTGTGGTGTTGCACAATGTAAAGGTGATCTGAAGGGGAAACTTAAACACCTATGGAACTGTTGCCCCGTTCCCAGGAGGTTCCCATTCTGTCTCAGGAAAACCCACAGCCCACTGCTGAGAGTCAATGCTTACTCGGAGCGCCCCAGAGGGGTCGATAAGCACTGGACAGCAAGCCACAAGGGCCATGGTTTGAGCCTCCAGTCACTTCAAGGAAGAAAGACGAGGCTTTCTGCTACCTCCAAGATTTAAAACCTCAGGAACCCTATACAGTGTGGCTGAGTCAGAAGTGACTCGACGGCACTTAACAATCTTTATGAAGCAGCCTCCCATGGAGCTGCTGGTGGGTTTGAACCACCAACCTTGGTTAGCAGACAGGCAGCTAACCACTGTGCCACCCGGGTTCCTCTGAGTAAAAAACCCACTGAGTCGAGCGTGGTAGCCCCACGGGATAGCAGAACTGACCCCAGGGTCCAAGGCAGCCATCTGTACAAAAACAGATGGCCACGTCTTTCTCCTGCTGTGCAGACGCTGGGTTAGAACCATGGACCTCTCAGTCAGTGACGAGGATGCTTACCCAGTGTGCCACCAGGGCTCCATCGGTCCCAAGAAGTGGGAATATACGCAGGTCTGCGTTACGGTAGGACGGTGCCCTCGGATCTGTCAGGTGGGCACACCACACCAACCCCCTGGTCTGCCTGCCTCAGTCTCCCTCAGAGCCTTCCTGCTGGTCCCTCTGTCTCCTTCTAACCACAGTCTAGAGCCAGCGGCTGCTCCTGTAAAGATTTCATCTGGGAGACCCAACTGAGGATGGCTAGGCGTCAGCATCAACTTGATGGCAGTGGGTTTTGGGTTAAGGAGTAAAACCCGAGGAACCCAGAGGAAACACAACAAAACTGGCCTTAGAAAAGGCAGCCGAGGCTAGCTAGTGCAGAGTGCTGCTGGACAGTGCCGTCCAGTCGGCTCCGACTCAGTGACCCTGAGAGCGTTTCCAAGGAGCGGCTGGTGGGTGTGAACCAGCGACCTTGTGGTTCCAAGTCTAGTGCTGACCCTACAGTGCCACCCCAGGACTAGAACCGGAGTCATCATTCACTGTAACAACCAGTCAGGAGCCCTGGTGGTACGGAAGCTGCTCAGCTGCTAACCGAGAAGTTGGTGGTTTGAACCCACCAGCTACTCTGAGGAAGAAAGGGGACAGGCTTGTGACCCCCACGGGGCAGTCCTACTGTCCTGCAGGGTCAGTATGGAGTTGACTCAAAGGCAATGGGTTTGGGTTTGTGTATTTTTAACAACAGGCTGTGTTTCACTCGACTAAGTGCTGGGTCAAGACTAAAACTCAGCTTCTGGTCTCATGAAAATTATCTGAGCCACGGGCAGGCGCTAACCCGGAGAGAGGGAGACACACTAAAGATGAAGGCAGCGGGAGACACCATAGGGAGGGGATTCAGGGAGGGAGACCAGGGGAGGAGACGGAGTCAAAGTGAACAGAGGCCAATACTGTGACCTGAGGGGACGTGGAGGGGGCTACAGTCATTGTGATAAAATGAACTGAAGATTTGCTCTGCATACCTTCATGCAGTTCACAACAAAAAGTTAAAAAATCTCCCACACATTTTAGATTTTAGTACATCGGAACAGGCATATCAAAAACCTTACGTGGAAACAGATACTAAGTTTAAATAACTTTTTGAGAAAAAAAAATCTTCACCTTTTGAGAAAAATTTGGGAACAATCTGTTCCCCAAACATTCAATTACTCCAGATCTTTAGTAAATTGCAACAAGAAGAGAGTGGCCTTGGTTGAAGATTAAACTGGGCTGCAGGAAAGAGGTACGGCCTCTTTGTACTGTATAATCCAACAACTAAACACACACCATGACACTTGACAAGGACACAGCGTTCAAAGACTAAACACAGTGCCTCTTCATCAGGAGGGCCCAGGCCCTGAAGAAGGACCTCATGCTCGGGAGCTGGACTGACGGAGTGGGTACAATGGGCTCCAACGCAGCAGCAATGGAGACAGTGGTACAGGACCTGGCCGAGTTTGGCTCTGTCGGACTCAGGGTTGCTGAGCCGGAACAGACCTGCCAGTAACTAACAATCAGGGCCCTGAACTGGCTTCGCTATTGCAGTCAATGGCCAACACGGCGAAAGTGGAACAGACCCAAATTTGGAAAACGTGGTGCACTGGAATGGGGACAATTATGGGTTGCTGCTCAGAAACTTAATCTTCCTTTTAGAAAGCACAGCATGTCCTATGCACAGCAATGAAATCTCTTAATTGGCAGAGTTATAAACAACTCAAAGATGGCAGCCGACATGCCAATCTGCATGCGTGCCACTCTTCACACTAGGCTCCTTGAGAGGGCTCACGGCACCTCTTCCACGTCTCCCATGCCAGGGCTTCCACTGGTCATTCTCTTGCTGTGGTCATTGAGGTGGTCTACCCACATATTCGAGGGCCAGGCTTGTTCTGAGTCCACACACTTGTTCTGCTCCTTGACTGAGCACGTTCAGCTCGGTTCGAAGCGCCACTAACAACTTTGACCACAAATATGAGGGAGTGTCCAAAGTTTGTGTGAAAATTCCATCATCTTTTAATTCCATTTTCCCAGGAACCTTGTGAAGCCCTCTTATGTAAGTTCTGAGTAAACAGAAGAGTGCCCCATCTCTTGTCACCTGCTTTGCCATACCAAGTTTAGATTTTCTCTCTGTGATCAGGCAAGCAAGGTCATTCAGGAGTTAAACCAATCCCCTCTATGGTACCGTCAGTGTAAGCCTCCCGCAGGGCCCCTATACACACCCTCGTGGACCTTCCTGTGCCGTTTCAAGTTCGTGGGGGACGCAAAGTGTTTCCCGCATCCTTCGTAGCTGCACCTGGTGATGAGCACAGAGGACTTGTTGCCAGGTTATCGTAACACAGAATGCAACTGAGGGGCACTAGCTGTACCCATTGTTCCCGCTGCCCGACATCCCACACAACCAACCAAAAGACTGAAAGTTCAGACCAAATCACAGGTACAATGATTAGCTCTGGGTCAAACCGGAGAGAACACTCCCCACTCACCTACTCCTCAATTATCCAATACCTCGTTATCCGACGTCTCAGATGTACAACCCCAGTAAACAAATCTACTATCTGACTAGTGTGCATTAATGACGGCTGTCTGGCAATATGGAAAGCAGAGGTGTGAGGTGAGAACACCGCTGAGTCACCTGGCTGGGTGTCCTGATGTAATCTGGCAGCTGGGTGAAGGTGTACTGTCCCCTGAGTTTGGGATTTGATGTGGGACAGTGAATTAATGCTCTCCTACCAGTCTGTCCCCTTCACCAATGACTGAATGGGATCATGGATGAAACTCTAGGTGGGAACTGGTTAGTTTGACCATCTGCGAGTTAAGAATGAGCCATCTCATGGAAAGGAAAATTACTAAGTTTATATGGAAAGGAAGGAGACCAGGATAAGCAAAGCACTGCTTAAAAGGAAGAACAAGGTTGGAGGCCTCTCACTCCCCGATTTCAGACTTTACTACATGGCTATGGTGGTAAAAACAGCTTAGTACTGGTACAACGAAAGAGACATTGATCAATGGAACAGAATCAAGAATCCAGATATCAACCCAACCACCTACAGCCAAATGATCGTCAACAAAATGCCTAAGCACATCACATGGGAAAGAGAAAGTCTCTTTAATGAATGGTGCTGGCAGAACTGGAAAGTGTTATGTGAAAGACAGAAACAAGACCTTTGCCTCATGCCATATACAAAAATGAACTCAACATGGTTAAAGACCTAAATGTGAATCCCAAAATTATGAAGATCATCAATAAAAAAACAGGGACAAACGTGAGGGTACTAATCCAGGGCATAAACAGACTGCCACACATTTTGAAAAGTACACAAACAAAAATAGACGAGTGGGACATACTAAAAATTAAAAACTTGTGTTCATCAAAAGACTTCACCAGGAGAGTAAAAAGGGAACCCAGACTAGGAAAAAATATTTTGCAACGACATATCAGATAAGGGACTTATCTCTCAAATATATAGGAAAATACTACACATCTACAAAAATAAGACAAATAACCCAATTAAGAAATGGGCATAGGATATGAACAGACACTTCACCAGGGAGGAGATCCGGGCAGCCAACAAACATATGAAGAAATGTTCA